ATTCAACTTGTTTCTCCACGCAGCAGCCTTGTTCGTCAAGGTTCATGTTTTGGAGTTATAGAGTTGAGAGAGGGTTATAACCACTATTAAGTACGGTAGTGGTGTAGTGGTAGAGCGCTTGCTTCATAAACGAGTGGTTCCGAGTTCGATCCCCACCACGTCCCTGGTAGTACCGCGCTTAACTCGTTTCTCTGCGCAGCGGCCTTGTTCGTCAAGGTTCGTGTTTCGGAGTTATAGAGTTGAGAGAGGGTTATAGCCACAAAATAAGTAGCCTCCTCGTCTGTAGTGGCCTTCTCGGCCTTGAGGAGGTGAAGTAAAATAAAAAAAAAAAAAAAAAAAAAAAAAAAGTAGCCTCCTCGTCTGTAGTGGCCTTTTCGGCCTTGAGGAGGTGAATAAAAAAATAAAATAAAATAATAAATAATTAAAAACCAAACTAGTACATACACCATGATGTATCAGGCTTGGCCAGGATGGCGTGCAATTTCACATCATAATATGACTACGCAAATACTATGATTTTGAAAACTTGACCACAGCTGTTAATACGCTTAGAGAGTTTGTATAAATTTTAAAAACACGCTAAAAAAAATGTATTAATAGTTCAATACATGTGATATTGTTGGATAAACAAAACATTGTATTTTGTGTTTTTTATGTCAATTTTACATTGTACATGTTTTATTAGGTTGTAGGCGTTGTGTTGGCCCAACAACACTATATTTTTTTATTTGGACATGAGTGGGTGTTCCTCTAACTGTTAGCATCATGTTTTTATAGGATGGCGTTACATTAGGCTACTATTAGTATTAAAGTTGTAATGTCATTACAACTTTAATGTCACTTCTGTGACATTAGCATAAAAGAGTTATAATTAAGTAAAGTTAAAACATAAATATATTTTCAGAAGTATTTGCAATATTTACAAGGTTTTTTTTGTTAAAACTGCTAACAGTTTTTTTTTTAATGTTCAGAAAAGTAGCTGTTACTTTTGGAAACTTTGAATCTATTCCAAGGTTTATTAACAAAGCTTTAATGAATTACTTCAACAGCTTGTTCAGAGTAGCAACCTAATCCACACAAAACCTATTGCACAAAAAACATGTTTTAAAATGAAATAAATTTTCAATCCAACAGTTATTTGATAATCTTCAACCAGTGTTCTGTAGTAATTTTTTAAAAAACTTACTTTTTTAAAAAAGTAAGTTTTTAATATGTGTTTGAAAATCATGAAGTTTTTGTCCAAAACAAGACTCAACCAAATTAGTAAAAACTCGAAGCCCTTCTGCCAATGGTTTTAAGTTAATTGGCAATGCACACATGTACTTATCATAATTTTTAAGGATTTTATGGGAGGCGTTGCCATTAAAGGCATTATTCTGAACCTCTTTTAAAATATTTCAAAATCATTGACACTTTAGCAACTTCGTTTTTACCACCATATTTCTCTATATGATTATAAATATGATTAACAGCTCCCTTCATTAGGTGTAATTCTGTTGAGAAAAAATAATCTGCACTAAGTGGTCACTGGTTTCTGCGTGTGTCAATGGAGGAATAATAATGTTGCAAAGTTCTTTAGCCTTACGTTTTATTGCACCTGATTGAGAAACTTTTGTGTATTGTTCCTCTAAAAAACCAAAAGTTCTAAGCTTTTCTTCTTTAAATGGTTGCATTTGTTACAACTTGCATATATGGCAATCTTATGTATCCATAGCACTTGGAGATAAACCACACATTATTTGACAACACTTAAGATCAACTACAAATGAGTGCTTTATTTTATCTAAATTGAGACAGTTCATTAATATAGAAACATTGTAGTGACTTTCACAAACATTCAGAACTAAAGCTAGTAAAAAAGAAGCTTTTACAGAACCTTCTTTATATTTTGTATTCTGAGGTCCTTTATGAGTACATACTCATTGTAGTTTCATGATTCTTTTTCTCAAGTTCTAAGCCTTTGCTTTCACAATCTGACAGTAGGTTCAAACAGATATAGAATAAGAAATTTTTAATTTTTATAAAATGTTGTACCTTTTTTTTTTTGTTTTGACTAAATTGTAATTCTCACAAACATATTTAGAATGAAATTATTTACCTTCAAAAAGCCGCTTCCTCCATCAATAACTTTGTTTGATTGCTTAACTTCTCTTCTTTAATCACTAAAAGCAACTTTACAAACTCCTCAATATCGGCGCACTTAATAATAGGGGCATTCTCCTTTACTTTTAAATTTCCTTTTTTACCCTCAAGTTCTTAATAATCAATTATAAATATATCTTCAAGTGCACCATCAATTACCGGAAGTGCTTTTTGCAGGTTTGCTTGTATGCAAGTTTTCTCTTTAATTAATCTTCAATTCAAAATAATTTTTTTTAAATTAAGGTTAAATAAAATAACTTAGAAAACATACTACTTCTTTTTGTGCAGGTTTCTCCACGTAAATTGGTTAGTTTGCATAACTTACAGTGACAAATAGTAGAATTTCTGGTTAAAGTTGTAACAACATTTTTAGTCAAGTCTATCACTAAATCTGGCAAGTAGTTTTTTTTACGTATATTATTTCTACATTTATCACATATGCCGAGTGGATTTTTTGAAACATTGCAATCTAAATCAAATTGGGCACTTTCTCTTTCATCGCTTGCATATTTAATAGTCATGATGTTTTGTGGACACAAAATATCATGTTAATTTTTTTTAACTTATGTCCTGCATTTGGGGAAAAATTTCTATATTGGGCCCTTTTAGCCCCTAAAATGTAAATATTTTGCTAAATAGAATTTTATGATTTCGGTGACATATCAAACCTGAATCGACTCATTGTAATGAATCCAACAGTGTATGATAATGGTCGGGATCATATTGCAAAACTAAAAAGTGGTTGGAGGCATGTGTGTCAGTAGTAGCAAAAGCAGATTGTATATACACATAAAAAACTTGGATGATTGTCAATGACAAGACCAACATTTTTTCGTGTTTGAGATAGCTAAATTCCAAACATAGAACAAATTCCAAACATAGAGCAAATTCCAAAACATTTGTATGTTTATACTTATGTCAAATAATGATGCTTAGCAAAAAGCCTGAAATTTCAATTTCTTTGAAAGCCCTGAAATTTCAATTTCTGTCTCAAACATGAAAGAAGTAAGTTGATAAAATAATTTTTTTGCAGTTCTTAACTAAATTTATATTCATCGATAAATTTTAAGTATTATTGTACAATCTCTATGCGTTCAAAAATTATGACCAAATGAAATTTGTAACCCTCTCAAATAGAGGCAGGTTTAAACCTTATATGGTCATAATTTTTGAACACTGAGAGATAATACTATGAAACTTAAAATCTATTGATGAATATAAATTTAGTTAAGAATAGCAAAAAAAATTATTAACTTGATACTCTCACATTTGGGGCAGGGGGGGATGAAATTTCAAATTTCAAACAACAAAAAAATACTGAATCTGTCTCAATGATGATTGCATCATTCTTTTAAATAAAGTTTAGCAAAATTATCTATATTTCATTGACAGAAAATAAGAAATTATTATGGATTTGTATGATGGATAACGGATTATGGATTTGGAAAAAGATACAATGATGGAATAACTGATGTACTATGTTTTTAATCAAATTTACAGTTGATAAAACAATTACAAATAACATTGGGCATAAGTGCCAGCATGGCACTTAGTGCAATCGGCTTTGGATATACTGTCATTTACAAAAATTCCTCGTAGTAATACCTTTAAATACCCAAACCATTGTGAAATCAAGATTTAGGTAATTTATAAATGTGCTATGGTTAAAAAATTTGAAAATATAAAATCCAATTGGAACCAGTGGCAGAAACAACTTAGACAGAGCATGTTACACAGAGAAGGTTAGAAAAAAAGAACTCTAAGTTTTACATTAGACATCATAGCTTATACCTTAGCTTGTTTAAAATTACAAGGCAGCCTATTTACTTGTAAGATATATGTTAATGAATATATTGGAAAAAGAGAAAGATATATTAAATGCTAAATACAATTGAAGAATGGGATGTTTATTTTAGGGACACAATAGATCCATTCTGCAAAGATCCACACAAAAAATGTGGTATTATATATACAGAAGAATAAGTTAATAATTTAAAGTTTCTACTTAGAATGTCCTCGCAACAATCCACAATCATCTACATGACTTTTTTTTTTTTAGTTGTTAAGGAGCTCCAAGAAGAACTTAGGGTTTTACCACAAAGCACAGTGGATGAGCAATTTAACTAGGAACTTACTTAACAAATTTGCTTATTTGAGCAGAGCCGCAATCGATTCTCAGATCTCTTTTTTTTTTTTTAATTATTCACCACTCCAAGGCCAAGTAGGCTACTACAGTTGAGGCTGCTTTTTTTTTTTCTTTTTCTTATTTTACAACCCTCTCTTAACTCTATAACTCTAAAATACGAACCTCGATGAACAAGACCGCTGTGTGGAGAAACAAGTTGAGCGCGGTACTATCAGGGACATGGTGGGGATCAGAACTTCTCGCTTATAAGGCGAGCGCTCTAACACTACTGCATTTCTTGTTTCTGAGAAAGAAAAAACAAAATTTAAAAACTTTAAAAACTTCAAACCAAAACCTTCAGTCAATGTAGCAGCATTCTCTGCATTTTCTACTTATTTAAGTTAGTCACTGTATGTACACTCCCTGCATGTTTTACCTATTTAAGTATATTAAAATAATACTTTAAACTAAATTTATATACATTTCAGATTTTTAAATGAGATTTTATGCAATATTTAAAATTAGTTTTTCTGCCCCTGACAGATTTTTAAAACTTATTTTCTTGTGATCATTAATAACAATACTATTATTTCCCTAAAAGATTACAGGGGTAATGATATCATTAATGGGGTAATGACATCATCAAGTTCTTTTTCAATTTATTTCGATAGTAAAATAAATAATTAACAAAATTAACAAATAAGATAACAATATATAATACAAATATGATGACCTCGTTTCTGCACTACAGCATCTGAATACAGCTTATTGTATTGTACTAATGTTTGAACAGGTTTTCCATTCTTATAGGTTATAGCTGATATTTCATGATATAAAGATTCAAACTTTTGTTGGTCTTTCATTAAAGAATAAAAATAAACATTCATCTGAAAGTGTACACCAATTCGTAATCTTGGGATCTATAAAAAAAACTAAAATAAGTATACATATATACAGTTAAATTTTTTTTGCAAGCTGAGGATGCTGGGAAGTTTTGATGATTGAGTTTTGATCAATGATGATAATAAAGTTAATAAAAATAAATAATAAATGAAACTTTTTAATTGCAAGATAATAATATTTATAACAAATAAAGACAAATAAAAAAATAAAAAATAAGGTTTTCATGGAGATAAACAACAAAATGAATAAAAAAAACAAACAAGTACACTTAAAAAACTAATGAACAATGTAGAATAATAAAACCTTAGTTTCAGAGGCTCAACTTGAAACTGACAAGAAGGAATAAAAGCTTCCAGACCTGCATAGATCCAGTAGGTTAAATAGGATGCACATTTATCAGTGGAGAGAGTTCCCAAAGAATATCATATAAAGAATCTTAGTTGGCTTTAGAGTAGTAGTAGGTAGTTCAATAATAGGGTGAGGAGTCTGGATCCAGGAGGTTAAATAGGAGGCACTTTTATCAGTGGAGAGATTAGTAAAAAGATAATAGCTATCAACAATTAGGTCTGAAGATGAAACAGCCAAATTCAAATTAGTCTCACAAAAAGCAAATCTGGTGAATTTAGCTGAAGGCAAGAATCAACTGATGAAAAGTTACTTTGAAGACAACAAATACTTGAAACAGATATATTGAAACAGTGAGGTGGTGGTGATGGTTTTTATGTTTAAAATTTTCGTGTACTTTGGTTGTTGTTAAAAGTTCAAGATAACTTGACTCTGAGCAATAAAAAATGAAATTACTAATATTGTAGAGCTGTACCCTCATTAGGAGATAGCAGGAAAAGTTCCATAGCCACTATCAAAGAAAAACGAGCAAAAATCTATGAGTAGAGTCAAGAAGATCCGTCCAAGGCAAGGAACAATGTAATTTACATTTTTGCAAGCCTAAGAGATAAAAAAGAGGTGCATGGTCAACAGAATTATTCTGCTTACCTAGGTCTACCTTAGGTCCTTTCCTTGAAAGCCTTCTACAAGAGAGTAGCTGAATTCAGTTAATATCTGCCCAATATGAGTATTTTTATCAAAATGCTATCTGTAGTGTTTACTCAGCTACGAGCCCCAAGAGGTATTTTGATCAGAATTTAATTCTCATAACCTTTGCTTAGAAAGGTAAATCTTACAAAGCAGTAGGATATGGTAGTAATTGATCATGACACCAGTAGCAGGGCAACTGTGATGGTCCTAAACCAAACCTGACTTGAAATAGTTTAAAGAAGTTACTTCTGTAAGCAGTATTTTAAATATTAAACAGAAGATTTTAAATATGCATCAAGAAAAACATACTTAAAGGAACACTGGAAATTAAGGTGATATATGTTATATAGCTGTAGTCATTTGGGAAACTAACCTAACACAACACAAGAGGTTCAGACAGAACAAAAACATATATATAGAAACAGGTGAATCAACATCACGCCAGAGGTTCAGACAGGTCATAAACATACAATTAGCAACTTACAGGTAAGTAAATACTGCACCAGAGGTTCACACAGAACAATAATAACTTACGGGTAAGTAAAAACCGTGCCAGAGTTTTAAACAGAACACCAACATACCAAGGCTATTCTAGACCGTTTTCGACAGCGTTGACTGTATTTGGGAACTGCCCTAATTAAAATTTGAGAACCTTTTTTTTATTACGATTTTTGCAACCAATAATTTTTTTTTCTAAAAAAAAAAGGCTGGTTTTCCACTAAATTTTGCCAGTACGGGTGGGGGTTTCCACCACCCAAATATTTTCCTAGAATTGGCCCTTTATATATATTTAGTAAATTGTATACAAGTAAGCCAACTTGGTAAGAAAAGCAGCAGGACAAGCAACTGTACCAACTAAAACATCCCAAAACCATTACATTACTTCCTCCGTGTTTAACGGTAAGCAGTTGAGATCATACTTTGTACCTACTAGACTTCAATTAAACTTGATATCGTCTAATTCGAATGGCATAAACTTCTTTTCATCCAAAAAAAGAATCTTTGACCATTGTTGACTATTCCACTTTAGATGCTGTGTTGCAAATACTTCTAGGGCGTTTCAGTTTTTCAAGAAAGGCTTCATTTTAGACCAAAGGCTTTTTAACTGAACATCTTTTGAAAACATTTGCATGGTGTAAACAATGTTTTGTAGTAAAAATACTACAATTCATTCCATAAAAACATATTATTTGTTCATTTAATCTAAATTCTGTCAAATAGGTTTTTTTGTAGCCTAATATTACAAGCTTTTTTATCCAGATGTTATTTTGCAATTTTATTTTACCTGTTCACAAATTTTGGATACTCTTGTATTATAATTGTTACAAATTACCAATTTCATACAAATTAAAAACTACAGGTATTTGTACCTTAAAATGTAAGTGATTATTTGAATAGCCATAAAAGTTTTTGTTGCAATAGCTGTAAGCTAATTTTCAGAATATGAACATACCTTATAGTCATTTAAATTCCTTTGGGGTACTTGTTGCACTTACACTCTTTAATGAATCAGATATAGCTCAACAAAATAAGGCCTATTTTACCATGTCAACCTTAAAATGTTTTAAATATAGGTTTTATTTTATGGCAATAACTTTAGAACAACCTTTTTATTTCTGTTGAAATTTTGTGTTATAATTTTTTAATTGTTTTATGTTAAATACAAGTAAATAGATTGTATAAATAACTTTCAGATTTTCAGCCGTACTTCATAATGTAAGTTTTTTGTACCTTAAAATGCAGGTAACATTTTTTAAAGAACTAAAAATAATTATTTTAAATTATTCATAATGCTTTTAAATTTTATTTTTACAGATAAAGTATATTAAAATAAGACCAAAGTTTAATCTTAGGTTAAAACCTAAAACAAAATATCAAGCAGCTTCTTAAAGAGATGAAATAAAATTGAACGAAAATATTTTAGCAAACGCTGTGGATTATCGTGAAAAAAACAACTGTCGAGGCTAAAAATCTGTTAAACAAGATAGTTATAACGATGATCCTAGAATTATAAATCGCATTTTAAACAGTGCTAAAATTGATGAAAATAAAAACTATCTTTCAATTTTGACAAAGGATGAAGAGAATTGTATGAAGAGAATTTTGACAAAGGATGAAGAGAATTGAAGTAGTATTGTATGCAAAAAATAAAAACAGATGTCTACAAGGTATTACAAAAAAAGAACTGTAAACAGTCATTTTAAATATAATAAAGTGTTGTATGCATGCTAATAAAAACCTGAAAAATCATCATTGATACTGCAAGCTTTCGTCTAATGCAAAAAAATCACATTTCTTTTTTGTTAAGATTCATGGCAAAGCACCCCGGTCAAACTCAAAAGAGACAAGGGAGAGTTTCTATGAAAAACAATTTTCGTGCTTTAAACTGCATTAGAGAAATGGGTGAAAGTCATTCAAATGAACTAGTGGAAGAACTTAAAATTACAGGTATAATGAAAAACAGTGAAAAAACTTCAGAAGAAGTGTGGTACAGTATAATAGATACTAAATGCATATTTAATCATGATGAAACTCCACAGTTTGTAAACTTTAAAGTTGACTGGAGTGCAAGTGGATTGGTGTTTGCTGGAAAAGGTAACAGTTGCTATCAAATGATCTGCGAGAACAGAGATTGTATAACTATTCACCCATTTGTGTCTTGTGCTGCAGATGTAGTTATTTGCCATGTAATATTACCAGGAAAAGGAATAACCAGCAAAATGGCACAAAAATCCATGGTGAAAAAGATTCCAAATTTGCTTATATCAACTATAGAACATGGAGTACAAGATCACAATTCTCTACTCAATTTCTATAAAATTTTTGAAAGCAAGTTAACAGAGAAAATGTAGAGAGGCCTGTGGTTGTACTAACAGATGGTCACTCTTTAAGGTTTGACGTAAGTGTCCTTTGTTATTGTTGTGAAAAACAAATTTGTCTTTTTGTTGGTCCGCTAGACACAACAAGTGTAACACAAATGTTGGATCAAGTAAATCATAGATAACACCATCATTACCGTCAATGTAAATCTAAACTGTTTTCTAGTATGATGATAATTGATCACTCTGGGTTTATGGAAATATTAGGAGAGATAAGGTCATCATGGACAACAAAAGAATCTTTAATCAAAACAGCTAAAGTGGTTGGTATTACAAATATTTTTACATAAATGTCATTCAAACATTAATATGATTTTTTTTAAATTAACTACTTCATTATCTTACCGCCTATAGAATAACTTAAAAGTTAAACATTGATACAAAGTCGCTTAACCATAATCGCTTACTGTTTACGTAAAATCAAAGTTTACTTAAAATCAAAGCATATATAAATCTCATTTACGTACATTTTAACCATTTTACTTGTTTTTATTACTTAATTTACTTTTAATTAAACCGTTTCTTATTAGTCATATTTTAGTAGTCAGGCTTTAAATTTTTTTTCTTCAGTATTTTCACTCAAGAAAAAATACCAAAAAAAAATTTATATCGTACTACTGATTATCATAGTAGATGACTCAAGAAAGAAATTGATTGATTAAGAAATTGATTGATTGATTAAATTAGATTGTATTTATTAAAACAAATAATACATGTTCTAAAGGATACGCAGATCCATATTAATGGACACTAACAGCAAGCCCCAAAATAAATAAGTTATGTAACAACGTACAACATTGAATAAATAATTTATATACAACTAAACAATAAGATATTCATTCAACGCCAACATAACTTTTTAAAATTGAGTGAGTTAATTTTACTCTTAAAAATATTAATATTATTGGAATTAATAGCAGCGAAAGGCAACAAAAAATGTTATATTTTTATAAAGATACTTTGATGATCAATTAAACGTTTTACTTTTTTTTTAATTTTTTAAGTTTACAATTATTAATCGTAATATAATAATATAACAATATATAAACTTGGTATCTGAAAGAAGATCGAAATGATCTTGTCACCAGAACCATATAAAATATATCAAACCTGAAAATATAATAAAATAAAAATACAATTGATTTAATAACTATTAACAATGTAGAATAAGTAAAAACTGAAAATAATTTTACATATTATATAAAGTGAAAATAATTTTACATTTCAAAAATATTTATATACATTGCCAGTAGAAAGAATATAACTTTTTAGTTTGGTTTTAAAAATGGAAAACGAAATTGACAAATCAAAATTTGGAACAATTTATTCCATAAATACAGTGCTTGATAGTTTATGCAAAATTGATTAAACTTTGTTTGACAAAAGGGTTCAATTAATAAATTATTCCTTTGTAAAGTATATTTGTATATAGCTTTCTGGGTTTTTTGTATATAGCTTTCTGGATTTTTGAAAATGAACCATTGTTCATTTTCAAAAATCTTTGAAAATGAACAATGGTTGTTCACTTTTACAACGAAACATAATTACATTTACAAAAAATGTGGCATAGGCTTTTCTTACCTTAAAAAATAGAATGAATGTAAATATATAACTGCAATATTTAAAAAAGTTAAGAATAACTTTTAACATTACCCTGCTAATGGAACTCTTATATTTTTCAGCCAGTTATTACTATGTAATCTTAATTTATAATCATAAATAATATTATTTTAGTATAATAGACATATTTAAATGATATTTAAAAATATATAGGTTTTTTAAACTTTATTTTTTAGGTTTTGCCGGCTTCTAACCCACTGTGCACTGGGAGAAACTTTTTGCATATGTGTCATGATTGAAATACTTAAGTTATTAATATGTGCTCAGGTAATAACCTAATAAGCTGCGGATGGTTTAAAAACAATTATGGTCTAAAACTTAATAAAGAAGAAATTTAATAAGACACTCCTTTAACTCCAGAAATGCTGTGGAGCCAAAAAAAAAAAAAAAAAGGAAAGCCAGTAGCTAGAAAAAACTTTAACATCTATTTCAACAAATACAAGTTTTTTTGCTATATTTATGCTATAACAGGGTGTTAGCCAGGAAAAAATTTCATACAGCATTTTTGGCGAAATTGAGTCATTACATTTTGACATTTAAAAAAACAGATAAATTTCACGCTTTTTGGGTACAATCAAATTTTAATCAAAATCAAAAAATAAATTCTATTTTTGCTGGGTTATATTTACAGCAGGATTATTTTTCTATTTTAAAAATGTTTGATTCTAATTATTCGACTTGTTTAATTATGAGCAATCTTCTAAAGTTTTGAATTCTAAATTGCTTCTTTTCTTTGGTTGATATGCTGTACCCGCTTTTTCAAAATGCCTTAATATGCTTTTTACATATTAATGGAAAAACGCAATTAAAAAAAAAATTATTAGGAGAAACTCTTTGTAAAACGTTTTTGCAACAAATAATTTTTATGCATTTTTTTAGAACACTTTGAAAATATGTATTTAAGCTAGTTTAGATGTCCACGTTTGTGGACATCTAAACTAGCTTATTTTTTAAAAAAGTCAAAATTGATTTTTTTTACCTAAAGACGTTTTAAAAAACGGCTGCAGTATAGTAGAGATAAAACAAGAACAAAAGACGATTGTTTGCAGTTTTAATGAATAAATTATTAAATTTCATTGAAACTTTGATTTATTTTAATTGCGTACATTGCTTTTAAATACAGTTTTAAGGTTTCAAAAGGTTTAAACAATTAGTTCTGAAGAAATACATTTGAATATATAAGTATTTAAATACTTTAGTATTTTAAAATGTTTAAAAAAAAAATTTTTAACTTTTTTACAATATTTGTATTATTGTCCATCATATTTTATATTATAATTTTTATCATTTGATAAATTTAATAGTTTAAAAACTTATTTAAATCAATAGCTTTTAAATGAAAGTTGAAATAAAAGCCAAGCAAACCATTAGTTTTTTTTAACAGCATTTCTCATTTTGAATGCTAATATGCAACTCATTTTTCACCATAACGTCAAGTTGTAAAGATATTTGGGTTCAAATCTTTAGTATTTGGGGTAAAGTCCTTAATATTGTTGAAAAAAAGTTATTCAAATGTCAACCTGGGTCTCAAAAGAAGCGTATTTTCATAGAGATTTTAGAAAACATTTTCCTTAAAACTTATTGACAAAAAAATTATGTAAAAAAAAATGCTAAAGACTCTTAAAAAAATTTTAACAAAATGTTTCTCAGAAATAATACAAAAAGTACTTTTTTTTATTACAAACGAATAAAATTTTTTAAATCTCTATGAAAATACGTATGAAAAGCGTATTTTTATTGAGATTTTGAAAAAAGTTATTTTTACTTTTGAATAACTTTTTTTTTGACAATATTAGGGACTTTACCCCAAATACTAAAGATTTGAACCCAAATATCTTTACAACTTGATGTGATGGTGAAAAATGAGTTGCATATTTGAAATCAAAATAAGAAATGCTATAAAAAATACTAATTGTTTGCTCGACACCAGAAAAAAATTATTTTTTTGTTAACCTGTGATATCTACGTAAATTTTGTATTTGATAATACGTTTCATTGCAAGTTTAATTTTTTGCAATTTTTTGAAAATCTTTTTCGTTAATTGTTGAAAGAAAAACAAAACTTACTAGAAATAAGATTTTATTTAAATTTTTTAGGAAAATTCCTTTTATTAAAAATATATAGAATACATTTTTGTAGGATATCTAATAAAAACTAAATATAGTAATTACTATAATATAAACATAGTATATACTAAATATAGTAATAATGTTATTTCTTTAAAACTATTTATTTATTAGTATTGTAATAAACACAAACTTTAATGCGTAAAATGATATATCTGTAACATCTTTTTGTGCAATTGTATGCACCATAATCAAAATTAATCAAAAAATGTAAGATAAATGCAAAAGCGTATAAAAGTTTATTTTGCCACAAACTGACGTCACTGCGCAAATATTTTCACCTTAACTTTTAGATTAGCATTTTATAGTTAAGGATGCGTCTATAGTTTTTAATGGTCTTAGATCTTATTAGTGCTGCCATTTGTATAGCATTACAGACAAATGTTTGTAAGTGTAATCTTTAGCATATGTTGACAGTACAGGCAGTATAAGGAACAATCGTTTATGCTACATCTATAAAATGAGAAACTTTAAAATTTTATTTTGAAAATTATAAATCTTTTTTGCTCTATTATTGCTTTTTTGATATATATATGCAAGACTGAAAAAATGTTAAACTTTATTACACTAAGGGGAGGTTTTAAACCCCCCAAAACAACATTAATGACAGCTCACTAAACCACTGAGCTATCAATAATATGCATTTAGAAAAAAAACAAACCTAATTATAAATCTCTTATAAGCTCTACGTATGTTAAAAAGGTGCACACGTTAATTTTTTTGCTCTTAAAGCAAATCTTCTTTAGAATTTTTTATATTAAATATATAAAAAATATTGAAGTAAATAAAGAATTGGTATAGAAATGATTGGTTTGGAAAAGCTTTGAATAGAAATGGTAGGTTTAGTACAGACCCGTATTTTATGGTTGGAATAGACTTAAAAAGACCCACCTTTTTACAGGTCCGGTCAGCTAGTTATTTATATTATCATATTATTATTTATATTATTTTTATTACTATTATCATTATTATTATTATTATCATGCTTACAATAAATTTTTTCAAAAAATTATTATTACTTACAAAAATTTTAAATTTATTTCCTTCAACAAATGATTGAGCTCTCAATCTAGTCGCAAATCCACTTGCAAAAAATGTATGTTCTTTGTACCTCATTAATCTTTCATTAAAGTAAATTACATAAGTAACATTTTCTGAATCTGCTGTTGAAGCAATATCATTATTTGTGATGGTAATTAGGGCCATAAAAGCATTTCTATTTCTAAAAAAAAATTTAGGAAACAAAATTTATACAAATGTATATAAATGTATATAAATGTGTATATATATATGTGTATATATATATATATATATATATATATATATATATATATATATATATTATATATATATATATATATATATATATATATATATTAATATTACCAAAATGTTCGTATAATTAGTGTTTTAATATTCTTGCCAATAAAATTTTTTATAGATATTCTTAACATTACATTATGTACATATATGCTTAACAAAATAAATATTTTTAATTTTAGATCATTTGAATTATTAAAGCTATAATGCAAATTGAAAAAGTTGGTATTAGATTGTTAATTGAGACTTGTCGCCCTTATCAGAAGTCTCTATCTAATGCTCACAAATTCATAACTACTGCCTGGTGTAGGTGGATGTAACTTCCATTCAAATAGTATGCAAGTACTACCTAAAGTATTCTACATCAAACATAAGTGATTATAGTCATTTTTGATGAATAAGGTCAGGTAGACTCAGTACCTCAACAACTATGGACAACATTGAGATCATCGAACAACTGCTTGATGAAGACAAATTTTTAAAAATAGAGCAAATTTGTGATGTCATAAAAATTTCTTTTAGTTCAGTTTATTTAATATTCACCATAAGATTACTGAAAAGATCAACTTGTGAATAAGAAGTGGCTTTACTACAGATTGATTGGGTACAAACATAGCAATTGCGTTTGGATTTCAAACGGTGAAGTTTCCAAAACAAATCAGGAGATCCCAATTATTATGGAAATTATTATGGATCCCCTTATTTGATGGAAAGGCCTATGTTGAGGTACTTCCGAATGGACAATCTGTAAATTCAGAAGTGTACCTGCTTTTCCTATCGAATACGCATTCTAATTTTGTCAACATAGGCTCCAAAAAAATAACATGGAACACAATGCTCCTTTAGCACAATAATGCCAGCCCGCATGTGTCTACTGCAGTCAGAGACTTTCTTGCTGAGAAAAAAGTCACCCGTGTCATTTAACTTTCATATCGCCCCAACTTTAGCTTATTGGACAGACATGCTTTCTCTTTATTTGAATTTTATTACAAGGATTTGGATTTTTAGACAGAGAAAGAGGTTTAAGAATACATGGAGACAAACTTAAGGTCACATTCACATGAGCATATGCAACGGCAACTGGAAAAACTGAAAACAGATTTAAATGAGATTATTTTGAAGCAAGTTTCCATATTTACGATCCACTTTTAATTTAATTGTTCTACGCTTATTCTTTGTTATAAAAAAAATTGGTTATATGAATTTTTTGATTGACCCTAGTATATATACAGGACTTGTGATAAAGCAGAATCATTCCCTGCTTGTGAAACATACCTGTAAACAGTATTTCAAAACTTTTAGGTACAATCAATAATACTTAATCAACTTATAAAGAGAGTATAAAATCACACTTGTTCAAGAGTTTGGGAGAGAGAAAATGATAAGTTGTTTAATTGATTTTTTATAAAATAGTTTTGATATAAAATTTTTACTTAATGATAAAACTTGTTTAATTTAATAGTGAAATTCTAACTTCCTTCAGTTAACAAAGCACTGATCATGGGCAACAGTGATGGAGGTGGTGATGAGGGATACAGGGTGTCTGGGGGGCCTTGGCCTCCCCAGAATTTTGCAAAGTAGTGTTGATTTTTTTGCTGATAAAAAAATTGAATACTATTATATAAACAGAAACACTTTTATCTACTTTCGGTAAAATGCAAAAAAATAAATCGGCTGTATTTATTAGTTTTAGTGGTAACTATGCAAGTAAAATAGTTACTTTACGCCATGGAAAAGTGTGATTGGTTTAAAAAAAACCCTAACTTCAATCGTCAGCGGTGGTAAGTTATTTTACCTAACTTAAAACTTTTTTTTTTTTTAATAAATTAAATAATTTATTATTATTGTAATAGTAACATTAAATATTATCAACATTTTTAATACATGCATTATATATTTATGAATCATCATGGCCTACTATATAACATGGCCGGATTTGTTGCTTTGAAGACAAAAAATTAGTGGGCTGAAAAAATATGGGTTGCAAGTATACAAATTAACTAATTTAAAAATATTCAGATGGTTTAAATAACATACATTTTTTAATTATATAAGTAATAGTTTATAAAAGCCAAAAATAGTGTTGTTGAGTTGTTGGTTGTAGGAGAAATTAGAAAAAATTAAGTAAAAATAGAAGAATGTTTCGTTGTGTTCTTCTAAAGATAAAAGAAAACAGCGACCACAAAACTGTCTGTAGTTTTCCTGATAGCAACTTTTATTTAGAACTTTGCTGGATCAATTTAGTCAACAAACTGATTGGATTTTCTTGAACTGTAAATAACTTCCATACTTTTATGGAAGTATTTTCCTTTATTTGTATAGAAAGTACCTATTTAACAAAATTGAACGGAAATTTTCTTTCTTTTAAAATAGATTTTGAAACACTGAAATTTCTATTGGAAAAAAAGGTTTTATTATGGAAGTCTTTTTTTTTTTAGCTAACTTGTTTTTTAAATATAACCAATTCTAATGTATGTGAATATATATATATACATATATATATATATATATATATATATATACATATATATATATATATATATATATATATATATATATATATATATATATATATATATATATATATATATATATATATATTTATATATATATATATACATATATATATATATATATATATATATATATATATATATATATATATATATATATATATATATATATATCTTTATAATAATACTGGACTTAATAGTAGTAGTAGAAGTGCGCTTTCGAGCCTGTTTGACACGATACTCTTGGCAACCCTTGCATCCGTATATATACCCTTGCATATATATATATATATATATATATATATATATATATATATATATATATATATATATATATATATACATATATATATATATATATATATATATATATATATATATATATATATATATATATATATATATACATATATATATATATATATATTTATATATATATATATATATATATATATATATATATATATATATATATATATATATATATATATATATATATATATATATATATATATATATATATATATATATATAATATATATATATATATAAATATTTTAGATATATTATATATACATATATATATATATATATATATATATATATATATATATATATATATATATATATATATATATATATATATATGTATGTATATATAATATTTATAATATTTAAATATATGTATATATATATATATATATATATATATACATATATATAAATATTATAGATATTATATATACATACATATATCTATTTATATAAATTTATATTTATATATATATATATATATTTATATATACATATATATAAATATTATAGATATTGTATATATATACATACATATATATATATATATATATATATATATATATATATATATATATATATATATATATATATATATATATATATATATATACTTATTGAAAATATATCTTCTGAATATATATTAGGGGAGGGGGGTACATAATCATCTATTTTTAGATTTTTTATAGTTTAACCAATTTTTCTTGATTAAATTATTATGCTGATTCCGAAAATTGTAATCATTTTTTTCATTTTAATTATTTAGCCTTCTACTTCGATTTTAATAAAAGTGAATATATTGACAAAAAAAGGCATTTTTTAAAATAGATAAAATTATTATTATCATTAAATATAAGAAAAGTAGAAAAGTAGAAATCTTTTTCTGTTTAATTTATCAATAATATACCTTATGATTTATAAGTAACAAAAAAAATAGGCATTATATATGAAAATAATTCATACAGTTTGTTATATACTATTGAAAATGGAAAATAACTATAAAAGTCATCATATGTGATAGAGATTGCTGCGGGAACTTTCCATGTAGAACATCTAGGTTATGAGGGTGTTCTTTGGTAGATATAAGATGGAGGTTTGTTTTTTTATATCAACAATCATGTATTTTAACAGAATAGATCTCCGCGACAATGACCTACATTGTATCCTTAAAATAAAGAACCTCATTTTTCGAACTTTTTTTTCATTTTAACATATCTTTATCTACTTATATAATGTCTAGTTTACAGCTAAATGGGCTGCCTTGTAACTTTAATCAAACTAAAATAGAACTCATCTTGCACACCTGATGTAATGTTTTGCTGCTCTTCCATTGTTATCCATTTGTTTTTGTAGCTGGTTTTAACTATATTCCATTGTTTCAACTTTTTGGACAAATAATTGGACATATTATTTTTAAATATTTTTAAACTACGCAAACCTTCATTTTTTATATGGTTTAAATAATTAAGTATACACCTACTGTTAAAATTAAATGGGTTTTTTCCAAAGCTTTCCAATTGCAACAACTTAATTAGAAAGTTAATACTAATCATATTCCGTCATCAACCAAACACATAATACTTTTCTCTTTTTCGAAGTCTTGAGGCTAACTTTTGCCAAAATACTCTAGCAAGAATGATTCAATCATTCAACCATTTTGAGGTATACTTATTACATAGAATATCCTGGCCATATTACAAAAATCCGGAAATTTTTTTTCCTTAAATATCCGGAAAAAATCTGGAAAATTTTTTTGTAATATCCGTAAAAAATCCGGAATTTACAAAGATATGTTATTTAAAATAATCCGTAAAAAATCTGGAATTTACAAAGATAACACAGAGGGAGGGGGCGTGCTCTCCTCAATTCTTTTACATTACTATAATATTACGCCATAATAAGTATCTTTATTCACCGTATATATAAATAAAAAACTACATAATTTGTTCATCAAAAAAGAATAATAATAATATTTTAACAACAATAATGATAAGAAAATTTTAACAACAATAATGATAAGAAGAAGATGAAGTCAAAGAAGAAGTAGAAAACTATATTTAAAAGCTGTTGAACAATGCGGAAACTTTTTTAGACATGCACTTATACATTTAAATACATAATGGATAATGAAATATTGCTTCAATGCACCAAAGATATACAAATAGATAAACATTTAACGCGTTGTTACAGAGGCGCCACCATAACTGAAATCCCATGGGCGTTATTTATTTTAGCGTTTTGGTTTTTTTGTAGTAATTTTACAAAATAAACCGACATATATCCTACACTTTTGCTTGCCAACTTCGTTCAGTAAACATTTATTACCTGTAAAACACTAACTTTTAAAAAATATAAATGAATTTTATTTTAACTATTTTTGGAGCATACTTCAAACGCAGTAAAAAGTAAGGAAATAATAATAAAACACCAGACTTCTAAAATACAAAAAATAAGAAATCTTTAGTAATAAACATGTTAAAAAAGAAAATAAATAAATAAAAAGTAAAAAGATATTGAATTATTTTTGTGTAATCAGTTAGTTTTCTACAAGTAGTTCTTCCACTCAGTGCTTAAAATGTTTCAAACTTAATTTACAATACAACCACTTCTTCTTTTATAAAAAAATATCCACGTCCAAAAATTAAAAAAGTTTAAACGTTCGTTAGATAAAGTTTAAATAAAAATTTTAAATTTATTTCAACTATGATAAACAAAAGGTTAGGCATTATTAATGATTCACGTGCTCATTAACGTGATTCAAAATTTAAAATATTTTTAAAAATGATTTTTTTTAAATTGAAATAAAATATAATTAATTTTGACGCACGTTTTTTGAATTGAAAAGAAAACGTGCCTCAAAATGCGATGTTTTTAAAGACCTAATGCTGTGTTTTTAAAAACCTAATAATGGCACTTAAAAGCAATTTGATTTACTTGACGTTTAGTCAAAGTACATATGTTTAGATTTCTTTAAAATAATTACATAGAATAAAATCCTAATAATTTAGAATATAATTTTATTATATAACACTTATGTGTATGTAATAACTTATTACTAACAAAGTAATTAATCTTAGTAATTAATTAGTCAGTAATAATATGTTTTTTATAAGTTTTTTCACCCTTTACAAAAACAAGTTGTACCGCATGACCATAATGTTACACCACGGTATTACAGTAACTGTAAGATTAATAGAAGTTGAAGGTCATACCAAATTTCTCATTCTTAGATCGAACTATACATTGTTTCACTGCTCTCTAGAATAAGATTTTACTAATCTCTAAAGAGTTTAAATTTAACGATATTTCTCATATTTGACGAAAATTAAAAACTGATTTCTCTCATAGCTTTTGTAACAGAATTTTTATTTACGAGTACCGTTTTTTCTACCATTGTCATAACTTTTTAAAATACCATCGTAAAAACTTTTTAAAGTCTCCAATTAATAAGAAATTATGCAAAAAAATGATACTTTCAAAAAGTGCGTACGAAAAGAGACTTGCAATGGTACGACTGGACAGAAAACGAAATAATGATGCAGTAAATTTTGAACCACCAACAAACAAACTGAGAAAAGTTCCAGTCCATAAGCGAAGTGATTTACTTAAAAAAAAAAAGTTTTAAAACAATAAAAAAAGAAATCTCTTTGCTAATAGTTAAAAGAGCTATTTAAAAAATGTCAGGTCTGTGAATTATGAAAAGATTAAAAAAATAAAAATGATACATTTTGCGGTATTATAAAATATAAATGTTTGTAGCAAAAAAAACCAAACTGAAGATTCTTTTTCTTAAAAAAAATCATGTTAAAATCACAATCACTTGTCTAAATTTGAATAAGATTTTAAATTAATAAGTTTTTTAGATGAAATGAACATAGTTTAACAATATGATCTGTTCTGATCGTTTCTTGGCAATTTTCCATAATGATAAGCTATTTCTTGGTCGAAATTCTAGTATTGTTATGAAAATTGGTAGGAATAATGTGTTTTGACAGCTATATATAGTTAATATATGCCAGAACCAATTAGAACTAGGATCAGTAGTAAACTAAGGAACTTTTTCAAAAGATTTGAACTAAATTCATGTTAATGCAGATGAGCGGAATTGATCTAAAGACTCCAAAATAGTGTTCTTTAGATTCACTATTACGGATAGTAAAAAGGTTTTGAAAATTATATTAAAAAAAATAAAAGTTTCTTTAAATTTTAAAAAAACCTCAAGCAAAAAAAATTATACCATCTAAAGCTTTTGTTTGGAGATAATACGTTGATAAAATCATGCTAATTTCAAATAAAAGTATTCTAATAATTTGTAAATCGCCTTAACTACACCAAGTATATAGAACAACCGTATATAAAAAATCTATAAAAATAAGAAAACTTTTGAATTTTATTTTAACAATTAGAAAACGTTTTTGCTATACTATTAATTTTTTGATATAAATATTGTTATAACTATTATAGATATATATAATAATTAACATTTTGCTATAAATATAGCAAGATTAAAAAATATTCAAAATTTATTACAGGAGGTCTTTAATCCCCCAAACGACAACGCACTAAACCACTGAGCTATCAATGATAAGCATTTAGGAGAAAAACAAACAGAATTATAAATCTCTTCTTAAGCTCTTGGTATGCAGAAAAGGTGTGCATGTTAACATTTTTGCTTTTAAAGCAATTTTTCAAAAAAAATTATTTTATGTAAAAAAAATGAAATAAACAAACAATAGGTATAAAAATGATCGGTGTGTAATAGATAAGTATAGAAACGGTAGGTTTAAACTTATACCGTTTACGGACCCATAAAATACGGGTCTTAATTTAGTAAAGATCCGTATTTTATGGGTCTGGAAAGCTATGATATATATAAAAGAAAAAAGTATAGAAAAGATTAGTGTGGAATAGGCTTAGAAAGACCTGTATTTTTATGGGTAAGATCAGCTAGTTATTATTATTATTGTAATTTTGATTATTAAATTAATGTTTGATTTCATTTTACATCTGGTATATTAAACTCTTTTTTAAATATTCTATATAAAAATTATATATAACTATGGATATTGATATGGAAAAAATTTTGAATATTTCTACCGTTGAGCATTAATTTCGATAAATTTAATTGTAAAATAAATTTAGTTATTATTTTAATTAGAAATTTTTTTTTAGTTGAAGTTAGTGTAAAACAATTGCTACATAAGTGATTTTTTTAGCTCTATCATTTGCAGATATTTGACAAGCCAGCTTCTGTACCGTAGTCAATTAAGGTCAAAAAAGAATTGGACTTTAGAGTTTCTTGATAGTTTAGACCAACTAGCTAGAGAAAATTTAATAAAGTGGTCAATTTCCACAGCACCTTATTTAAGAAAGAAAATTCAATTACAACATGCTTAAATTCGCTCAGTTATTTAAAAAAGACAAAACAAATGCCAAATATTAGATAAAAAAAAGAAAAAAAAAAGGTAGAACAAAAAATAAAATTACTGACTTTCAGCTATATAAAAATTTGTATAAACAATTGACTACATAACAACTTAATGACTTACACGATGTTATGTCTGAGATTATTGTTCGTAGAAAGTTATGCCATGAATGGTATGATATTGAACATTCTAAGTCTGTCGTGTATGATGGCAGAGTAGAAAAAGTAAAGAAAAGATTGCAAGACAAAATTTTAATATTTCTTACTGGCAACAAGATGAAATGGATCTTATAGCTGTTGATTATTGCATAAAAAAATTCCAATTTGCTGCAGATGTGGTTTCAGAAGAATTAATGTTTTTTTGATGTTGATGTGTTTCATTTGTCAATAGTCTCAATGTGTACTATTTTTATAATTTTTATGTTTAATAATGCCAAAAAAGATGTTGCAGGCGTTGTGACATGCATAAAGGTATCGCAAGTGATGAAACTTGCAAAATAGATACTGCAGGTGTTATGACTTGCAAAAAGAAATCGTAAACAATGAAATTTGCAAAATAGATACTGCAGGTGTTGTGACTTGTAAAAAAGTGATGAGACTCGCAAGTGATGAAACTTGCATAAAATTTTTTATAGATGGCTCTGGCTTACCTACACGTGGTGTCGATTGTTAAAAATGATTATTATTATATAGTTTCATTATTGGAACTTTAATTTTTAATCATTTACTAAAAGCCAAGGCAAGACTAAGTAACTAAATACATCCTATGTGTAATTAAAAAATTTTATTTTTTTTTGATATTTATTTTTATTTTGATTTCTTTTTTGATTTTTATTTTTTTCTGATTTTTATTACTTCTTTATTTTAAAACAGTCATAGTAGTTGTGTTGTATTATTTTATAATGTTGTAATGTATAATATTACTTTGGTAACGCAAACTTATTACAATTTTGATTTCAAATTTTTTTTTTAATTTGGTAGGGAGGGGGCAAATACCCTATCCCAAAAGGAAATGTACACAGCACAGATAAATAGGTAATTTTTAGCATGTTTTTTATAGTTTTTACACATTTTATAACAATACAATTAATTATAAAATTGTATCATTCTATCATTTTAGTTTATAGAAATATGTATTTTCAGATAGTAAAGATGGCAGAGCACTGGTTATACCAAGCAACATGAGGTATCATAATTGAATTTAAATTTTAAAAACAATTAGAAATTTTTTTTTGGTCTAGATCAAAGGCCTGGGATCTAAGGAGAGAGGATCATATACTCCTCACCTGCCACCCCTTCCCCACCGTATTTGTTAACCTACGCACCACTGGTATATGTTGTAATCAAGTGGAATACAAATTTAATTTGTTATAATAGTTTTGATAAAAAAAATGAATATAAAGATAAAACTATAAATATAAAAATAAAATTTTGATTTTAGTTTAAAGGAATATGTATTTTTAGATGTAAAGATGGCGGAGCAGCTCCCACTCTGGTTATACCAAGTTGCATGAGGTATCATAAATGTATTTAAAATTTGTTTTAGTAACTTAAGCGCACATCAAAAGTAATTAATATATTTTTTAGGGGTTAGGTCAAAGGTGAAGGGGGAGGACACCATACACCGTTCCCCCCTATATGTGAATCTATGCACCACTAGTATATGTTTTAATCAAGTAGAATATAAATTTAATTTGTTATAATTGTTATAATAGTTTTGATGAAAAAAAATATTTATAAAAATAATTTTTTTTTAATACTAGGGTGTATTAAACCATCACCACCACACCCACCCACCAACTATAAGATACACTTCTAATGTTTCCTTGCAATGACAAAATGAAACAATAACAACTTTTTGTATTAAATAAACTAACTACTCCATTTAAATACTTACTTTTATGGATGAAATTTGCATTTATTGAATAGTAAAGGCGGTGGTTTACTGCCTCCTCTAACTCCCTAAAAACACCCAATGACTAGTGACCAATGTAAACACATAGTTCTTTCATACACCTATCTTTTGATACAAAGATATAGATTTTTAGATAAGTATTGACAAAGTTAACAATTTCAGTAAAGGAAAAATAAGTTTTGACCACAGTTTCTTCAACAAATCCATATATCGAAAAATCCGTACCTAAAATGTCATAACTTTTGATAGGTATGTTAGATTTTGATAATTATTTTTACCTTTAAAATACTGTATTGAAACTCTTTTTAATGATATATAACAATCTGGTATATAATCATTTTAAAATTTTCATGTCACATACCTATTATATTAAGATAAAATTAGATACTCTGCATTGGTATTTATTATTATTGGTTTTATGGTATTTCTTACCTCTAATATTTTATTTTATTTCTCAATATTTCATCTTTACATGAGCTGATTTTGTTATTTTTTAGTTTAAATATGAAATGAAAAATTGTTTTCTTTTCATTTTCAGGTTATTTCAATGACAATTATGAGAATTCTCTTGAAGGTAAACTAATTTTTTTTTATTTTTAGATATGTTTTGATGATATTTGATATTTATATTCATATATATGTCTATACTCATCTATATATGATTACTTTTTAATTAAACAATATTTATTGATATCATTTTTATAATTTAATCACAAATTTAAAGTAGTAAGCGTAAAAATAGATTTATGTAAACAAAACATTTCGACCAAAAAAAAATCAAAAAAATATCAAAAGACATATTTTATTGTTTGTACAACTTGGATGCTTGTATAGAATGATTAAGAAATTATTAGAAAAGAAATCAATCAAAGTTTCAACAACCACCATTAATAGAGTTAAAAATAACATGGCCAGATTTGAAATAAAAGATGATTTAAATGGCAAAAAAGCTGAAAGTTGACATTATTACGACAGATGAAAAACTATTCTACTTTGATTGTGATCAAAAATCCAAACATATTCACGCAAATAGATATCAAAAAGCACAGAGAGTACTCTATTATAAAAAGAAAAATTTTCTAAAATCAATTATAGTATGGGTTACAGGGTTTATTCAATAATATAAAAGATATACGAAGAAACATCCTTCAAAACTTATAAATTTGGCATTGATGTCCTGGTCTAAACTTTTTAAACTTATCTATAATAACAAAGGTCATCAAATTGAACATTTAAGAAAAAAAAATTATGAATTAAAAAAATATTGCTTTTTTAATATGTTTCCATTTCAATATCACATAATTGTGTGTGTGTATATATATATATATATATATATATATATATATATATAAATATATATATATATATATATATATATATATATATATATATATATATATATATATATATATATATATATATATATATATATATATATATATTAATATAAATGTTTATTATATAATATTTTTGTGTTCTTATTTAGATAAGAAAGCACTCAAAGGTGTAAGAGTTAAAAACTTAGTTATAAGTATTATAATTAATCATTAAAAATGATAAAAAGTATTTCATTGATTTCATATTTTTTTTAGTGATGACAATGGACCAGATAGGTAAAAATTATTTTATTTATTAATTATTAATTTTCTGTTATATTATAGTTATGATTTATAATTTTTTTTTTGCTTGCTAAAGGTTAGACTTAAGTATGTATCTTTATAAATAAATTTTAAAGAGATCGCCAACTGCCGAGACAAGTTGTGTTCATACTAAAGAAAATGTTTAAAAAAAACATTTGGGCTGAATGTTTTTGATTGAAACTAAATAATAAATGCATACCAACAAAATTAAAATTATTTTTTAAATCGAAGCTTGCCGTCTCCATTTTTTCTTGGTTCTCGGGTCTCTATAATGTTAGCCACAATCTACAGACTTGATAATTTATTCAATGCGTGTTTAATTCATAACAGTTTCGGTATATGACATCATTGCAATATCTCTTTAAGATAGCGTTTTTTTGTTGTTGTTTTTTTAAAGATATAAGTATTTTTTCTACTACAATCAGAAAATCAAATATTTGTGTCATTTTTTACTAAATCACAAAAAAGTAAAAATTTATACAAATATATATATACATATATATATATATATATATATATATATATATATATATATATATATATATATATATATATATATATATATATATATATATATATATATATATATATATATATATATATATATATATATATATATTTATATATATATATATATATATATATATATATATATATATATATATATATATATATATATATATATATATATATATATGTATATATTATTTATAAATAAATATATATATATATTTATATATAATATATATATATATATATATATATATATATATATATATATATATATATATATATATATATATATATATATGTATATATATATATTATTTATAAATTCTTTATTATTACTTTGTCGTAGAAGCCATCCAAAATCATAACACAATTATACATATTTTGTGATAATTATAGTTAGCAGGCAGAGAAAAAATAATGGCAGTATGATGCGGTTTTTAGCTTTATATTTAGTTCATATGGTTCAATAGAGTTGTTCATTTTATATTTAATTTACATTCAGTTATGGTTTAACTCTTTCATTACCGCAAGCCACTGGTAGCGGCTTTCAAGTATGCTTTACAATTTATCTTGTTTTGTACATAAAATTCTATTCTAGACACATAGAATTCGTTTGTTTTGAAGGTTTAATTAAATCTCTACATACTCAAGAAAAAATAAGAGCTATATCGTGTAATTATAAAAAATTTATCACAAAGTTAAAAAATCTTGAATAATCATAAAAAAACTTCATAAAAAACTTTAAATTTAATTAAAAAATAAAACAGCATTAACACTCTAAAACTTAACTTGTAGAAGTGTTAAGTATTTAGTTAAGTAATTACCACAGTATTTTGAAGAAAAAATATTATTTTTATTCATTAAATGAGGTTTGATTTGGACTTAATGTTTTATTTACTACTTACAAAAATAATAGTTTTTTTATATAGTTGCATTTATTATTGCTTAATGATGCGTGTTAAAAACTTTATTATTATCAATTTTTAATTAATTGTCAATGTTATGCTATTCAAATGTTATTCAAATAAAAGTGCGGTTGCTACAAAAAGATTTTTGTTTGGCTGGTAGCGAACAATTTAATGCGGTTCTTTGTTTTTATATTTATATTTCATACACTTTCTTGTATATTTTAGTACAAATACTTGTTTTAACTTTAATTTAGTTTGATTTGAACGGTTATTAGTAAAATAAGTCGTTTAATATTTATTTTTTACTTAGTTTAGTTTATGTTTTATTCAAGTCACTCGTTTTTTTTTTTTCAGTTTATACTTTAAATTGATTTATACGCTTTTGTAAAATTATTCTTTTAGTATCTAGCTTATATTTAGTTTAAACCACTACATTTACTGTAAATATTTGTTATATATTAAATTTTAATTTTTGTAAATTTTATAAATTTAATTTTTAATTGCATGATAAATTTTTTTGGGTATTTAGTAAAAAGTTATACAATTAACAGATTTGTTGATTTTGGCAAAAAAATAATACGACATCTTAAAAGAAAAAATTTATACGCTGACATCATATACCGAAACTGATATGAATTAAACACGCACAGAATAAATTATCAAGTCTACAGATTGCAGCTAACATTATACAGACTCCGAGAACCAAAACAAAATGGAGACGGCGATCTTCGACTAAAACATGAATTTAAATGTTTAATATTTTTTTTAAACATTTTCTTTAATATGAACTTGTTTCGGCAGTTGGGGATCCTTTAAAATTTTATTCTTGAAATGATTTTATATTAAATAAAACTAATAATTTGATAAATTAAGTTTTTTATTATAGAACAGAAAAGAAAACTTAGGCTTTATTGTTAAATTGTTGAGTTATTTTGTAAGTAAATTTTGTAATTAATTATTGGAATTTGATTTTAAAGAAGTTGTAAAGATTTTTATTTATTTAATAATATAAAAATATCTGATTTTAAATTTGTGAGTAATGGCAAATGGCGCCAACATTGGCATAAACAGGAAATTCGGTTATCCCCATTACAATGACAAACAAACTGAGATTAGTTACATTGTACTTTAAAACCTTTATTTTTATCATACTTCAATTTAAGTTTTTATTTCTTGAAGGCATTTAATTATTGCTCAAAAGTGTTTTTAACTTTATCTAGAGTTGTTTGTTGCTTGGCTTTATTTAAACCACTCATATTGAGTAACAACTTAAAGGTAACAACTGCACATAATGAGTGTTTTTTATAATTTATTACTTTGTTAAATATTAAAACTAATACATGCAATAGTTTTTTCCGTAAAATAACAGGTAATTTGGTGTTCTGCAACTGCCGGTACTTTTCCGTAAAAAACGCACTGTTTTTTTAACAGAGTAATGCACAGATATATGTCAAAACAAGCATATACTTTGCTATTAGAAGAGTTTCCACTGCCTTTGTTGTCTTATCTAAAACTTTCAAAAGTTGGTATTGATCCAATATCAGGATCTTGGAGTTTATTGCATAATGTTTATAAGAAAGATGAATTTTTACCTCCTAACTTAAAATATTTAAAGGGATCCCAAACTCCCAACACATGTTGTGTTCATATTAAAGATAATGTTAAAAAAAACAGTTTGAACCAAGTTTTTTTGATTAAAGATAAATTATGAATGCATACCGAGAAAAACTAACGTTGTTGTTTTAGCCGAAGCTCGCCTTCTCCATTTTTTTCAATAACTCGGAGTCTTTAAATTATATGTCGCAATCTACAGACTTTGGCTATTCCTTTGAAGCGCATTTAATTCATAAAAGTTTTAGTATTTGACGTCACAGTAGACTTTTAACAAATGAAACTCAGGAAAAAATTTTATTTATTTTTATTCGAACTTTTTTTGATTATTCGTTTAGTTTTTTTTTCTTTTATTTTTAAAATTTAAAAAGATATTAAAAACCTCAAATATTTTATGCTGGTTCGTTACAATAAATTGTTATTGCGCCATATATTTAATGTTTATAAATTATGAATATTTATTATCTCAATCAAGACTCTGATAAAAAATTATTTTACATTGATTACCCATATAAAATAAGTAACAGCATTTTTATTTGGTTACACAATATTTCGTCTCAATTTGCTTTGCATGAAGTTTGGGAGGTCAAACGAAAAAAATTAGTTTGAATAATCAATTTGAAATATATTTAAAACAAATTATTTTAATGACGGGGGTTTGAAAGTTTTTTATAAAAAATGTGGGTAAAGAATAAATCACTAAATAAAAAGTTCAACATTAAACATCATTTCTTTATTATATTGCAACTGTAAATATTGAAATATTAACTTGAACTAAATTTACTTATTATTTAGAACAACTAAGCAATAAAAATAAAAAGCCCCTAAAATTATGCGATATTATGTTGTTTATTTGATAATTGTTGTTGGTTATGTTGTTTAAGTTGATTATTTTCATTAATATCAAAATAGTCCCAGATTAATCTGTTAGTTCGTTTGTTCATTGTTGATTTATTTCTAATTTAATTTTATCTCAAAGTATAATTATGTTATGAAAGAAAAGTTTTTATTACATCGCTCGCTCTTTTCATAAAAGAGTAGAACAAAAGAGAAAGAAAGGTTTCGCATAATTAAACTTTGAATGAATAAGAGTTGTATAGAATATTTTTTTTTTTGCATCACTCGTTCTTATTTTAGATGAGAGAAATATAAGTTTAATAGTAACTTTTCTTTGAATAAATAAAAATTGGAAGAGAAAATTGCTTGAAAATTTGTATTTGTTAATTGTGTTTTTAAATTTTTTAATTTTTCATATTAAGAGACAAATGCCAAATACGATACAAATTGGGAAATACCAAATATAATATGTTTTTTAACGCGCATTATGACATTTTGACAATTTAAATTACCATTTATCTTGAATTATTGCCATTAAATAATGTGTTAATTATAATTTATAATTAACACATTAATTAATTTTATATAATAACAATTTGTCCGTATTTTTATTAAATATTAGTTGTATAAAACGGGCAAAAATATACAAACTTCATGTTTTTTATTTGATGGTTATAAAATATTGAACAATAAACTTATAATCAAAATTTATAATGCTGACTTGTGTTGCTATTAATTGTACTTTTAATGCAAAACCAGGATCTCACATATCCTTTCACAAATTTTTATATCTGATACTACTGTCAACTGTATTGTTTAGTCTATTCTTGTACTTTTTTTTCATAGCCTTAACAGGTTCCAATTGGTATGGAGTTGCTGACATTTTAAAAGTTTCATCAAAAATCAAATGTAAATTAAAATGATATTTCCTTTTTATCGGTATCCAATTCAGCAAATTTAGCAGTTTAAAATAAATCAGCGTAATCAAAAAAATTTTATAAAAAAAAAACTTAACAATTCATCAAATATCTCTAATTAATACTGTCAGTTTATGAAACTAATTGTTAATAAATACTTTTTTTCGACGGGAAAACAAAAACAATCATAGCGTAAAAATAATCAGAGAAGTTAGAAAATAGTTTCCATTGTTTACATAAAAATAAGTAAGATTCAGAATATATAATACTGCGCTCTCTTGCACAAAAACAAGAGACCGTATACATAACGTTCTATAAAATGTAAAACACTCGTATGAAAATCATAAGATTCGTAAGTAAAGCTTTAATATTTGTTTAAATTTAAAAACAAAAGAATTATAAGTAACATATATAAATCTAAAAATTATTAAAATATCGGTAAAAAAAAAAAGTTCCTCTTATGAAATAAAAAGCTTTTATTATTTTTGATTTTTACAAAAATTTGTTGTAAAGGTTGTTTTGCTGTATGTTAAAAAATTACTACTTTTTGAATAAAAGTACTTTTCGAATAAAAGTAGAAAAACGCAGCTTTGTTTAATTACACTTTTCTTTTGTTAAAAATCTACCATGACAATTGTCAAGATCTTCTGGGTGGCAAAACAAGAGGACTGCATACCACAGCTACAAATTGTTTGCCATACAAAGAACTTGGATGCAAATTTTTCTCATCGAATATAAATATAAATTGATTAAGTTTATCTTTGTTCTCATAGAAAAATTGTTGACCAGGAAGCTTTGAGTAGTCTTTAACTTATTTATAATATCTATGACTGTAGATTTTGGGATTTAACAATCAAGCAATATGAAGTTGATGGAACTTTGCAAAAAAAATTCACACTATTTTTTTACGCACCTCAATTTGTTACAGAATCATTTTCAAATCATTGATTTATAAACAAAAGTTTATCAACACAATTAAAGATAAGGAATTAACATTTAAATAAAAAAATAAAATAAATAAAAATGATTTGTGATTTTAGAGAAACCTCAATTTAAAGTTGACCAAATTTTTCTGTGTTTCCACCCAATACTTGTACTGATTTGAAATAACACTAAGAATATTGCTTTAGTTATGCTCTTTACTTTTTAAATTTAAGTTTTGATCATTACATAAGTTAAACTCCTTCTTTCATTTAACAGATGATTGGTGACTATTTATAGATTCTAGTAAGAAATTCTTTAAAATCATTTCCAATGACAATCTAAAGCTATCGATTTCAACTTCGCAAAACATTCGCAATACTCAAAGTAATAAATTACAGCAAACAGTCAAGAATACTTGTAAAAATATAGAAATAGTTGCACTTGTTCTAGGAAAGCAGATTGCTTACTCTAAGTACACCTGTTTCTAAGCCTCTAGGGCAGTCTTTGTAAAGATTTCAAGATTAGAAGGGAGGGCTTTTCATTATCTTAAAGATAAGTTGGGAGCAGTTTTGACAAATGCAAAAATTAAAGTTGGTGTTTTTAAAAAGCTCCTCAAATACAAAAAATAGTGCACAATAATAAAGTTCATCAGACTTTAAAAAGGTTGCAAGAATAGCAAGTTGTTGCAAAAAAAATGCAGGAATTTTGCCACAATTGTGGCAAATTGTGGCAAAAAGCTACAGGAATAGCAAGTTGTTTTTCTTATTGAATTTTTTTTTTGAAAATAATTGATATGATCAATACAAATAATTATTAGAATCTTGATATAGTTAAACCAATGATAAAAGTTTGTGTTACAGAAAGTTACTAAGATTCCATTTTCTGCACTTACATCTTGAATTTTTTTCTCCAAACCTAGGTGAGGAAAAGTGAGTGAATGAGGAACAAAGAAAAAAATTTCATTGAAACACCTCAGACATGGAAACCAGGGTTGATACAACTGAATCATGATGGAAATAAATTTTATAACTCGTAGCAGCTACAGAAGAAAATCTAAACCCTTGAGCAATTTAAGTTCCATAAATCTCATCAAACACTGATGATTGCTTAGTTGACATTAGTTGTGTGTATTTCATGTTTTCTTGAATTTTCGATAAACATGTTAAATCAGACTAATTATAAACAGTACTCAACAGTAACAGTGGTTACTGTTGAGTGGGTTATTTTTTGCAAAATTTTACTTTATTAAGAACAATATATTAACAGTAAATCTTAAATTGAAAATAATACAAAAATTAAATACTGAAAAAATTGCGGAAAGAATGAACAGAGCTAATTTTCTCACATTTTTAGGGTTTTTTTAATTTAAAAAAATCAACTTGACTAATTTATGTACTTTAAATAAAATGAGCTTAAATTAAAAAAAGTAACTAAAAAATACTTACATTGCATTATATGAAGCAGCATCAAAAACATAAGAAGCAGCTTTACTATTCTTTACATTTGTCAAAACATTAAAGGGTTTAAGATAGACGATAAGTCTTAATGGACTATTAGCTATACGTGTATGTGATATTGCAAACTGAGTTGTTTCGTTCACAAAGCCAACCTATTTATAAAAAATAGCATAAATATGTATATATATATATATATATATATATATATATATATATATATATATATATATATATATATATATATATATATATATATATATATATATATATATATATATATATATATATATATATATATATATATATATATATGTATATATATATATATATATATATATATATATATATATAATATATATATATATTTTTTCTCAATATATATATATATATATATATATTGAGAAAAAAAAACCCAGCTAATATTACTAGGAAAGTATTCAACTTTTTACTTTTTATTAATCCTGTTAAATGCAAACTAAAAGGTTCACTCTCATAGAATAAAATTTTAGAAATAAATTTTACTAGTAAATATATTGTTTTTTTACTTGAGCAGTTATTGAGGTTTAATATGAACACAAAACTTTGTGATATTTTAAAAATCAGACAATATATCCCAACTTTTTACAAATTAATCAAATTAGAAATTAATGGTTTAATAACTTTGTTATTTTTATTTATTTCTTACAACAAAATTATAAGGTATCTATTATATTATATATATAATAAGGTACTCAATCTAAGTGATTTTATATATGCTTTTTATTCACATTATTCATGAATTGTACAAAAATAAAAGATTTAAAAAAAATATGGATAAGACATATCAGACTAAGCAAACTTGAAATTAGTTTAAATATAAAAATCTCTATTTCTTAAGGAAAACTATTCTTTTTTTCGTCTTTGGCTAAATAGTAGCATGTTTTTGTAGTTGGTACTTTAACTTTGTAAATATGGACATCTGGAATCCAGCATTGGCTATCCACTGCTGGTCATTTAAATGACTAAGCAGGTCCTTTTGGACACATAAATTTGACAAGCTTATCTTTTTCAAGATTAATGTTGCCAATGACTCCAATCCACCATTTTTCCTCATAGGAAAACACAGACATAATCACCTGGTACTAAATTTACAGTTGTTACATGGATGTTTCCAAAGTCATCTATGAAAGCAAAATCTTTATCAACACTGCTTAACTCCCTATCTAGACAAAATAGCAACATATTTATTCCGTTTTACTAATTTTGTAATGTATGTTTTATTAAAGGCATTAAAAGAAAATTGTCCAAAATAAAACTGAGATATTTTTGATGATTCTACACAAATAAAAAATCTATTAGAGTTTATCAATAAAAATTATGCATGTTTTTTAAAGATAATAAAAGGTATATTAAATTCGTATTTTTTTACCTTTTGATGGCCAAGTGGTACAAACTGATAGTAACTACGTGTTCCAGGTATGGTATTTGCAGTATCTAATCATTCCTTATAAGTGTTTCTCACAAAATTTAAATCTGGTGATGATATATAAATGGAATGTACACCTTCAATGTTTTCATTGCAATATATTTTTACATTGCTTGTTGAGATAAAATATGATTAGACATATCTCTTTGCAAGCTTTCTAGTGTTGCTAAACATTTGACTGTACCACCTATCCCATCACAATGTTGTTTACCGTGACTAGTTTGAAAGATGAAAACAGTGATTCAAAATATTTTTGCAATTCTTATATTGACCTGCATATCCATCTGAAAAGTATTCAATATTTTTTATTTGAGATAGATTTGTTTTAATATCATCGCTGACAACATCAATAAATTTATACACCATGTTTACATCATGCACTAAATCATCTGAAACAATGCAATAAGATTTGTGCTTGAGAAAACCTTCTTTTTTGAAATAAATAATCACAGGATGAAGTGTACATTGTAAATTTGTTCAATGAAAACTTTCTGCTAAAAAAAAAAACTTTTTCCTGTACTAAAAACTTATAGTATTCTGAAAAATCACCCAGAAATAATGCTGTTACTTCATTCATAACTTCCATTCTTGATCTCAGGTATGATTATTGATTTTTAGCTAAATACGAGTGTGGTGCAAGTTTTGTTAGTTTTTTTACATACTAGCTCAATGTATTCAAACACTGGCTCTTTATTATGTATTACGTTTGACCTATCGTTGCTGTCCACTGATCAAATTCTACTTCATCGTCATCATCAAACTCTCCAATTAAATTATTTTTTAATTACGTTTTTCAACCAACGCATTCATAATTGCATGGCATCTTTCAAATTTCCGCATCATACAATCGTTATTAGCCATTTCACATACAAGGTAACAGTTCTTTGTATGTCAATAAGAGGATGTAAAAACAATTTTAAATTCTGATGAATAGCTCAGATGCATACTGAATGTATTCTTAAAGCACCAGCAGTAATACACCATTTTGGTCACAATGTGCAAAACTTTGAAAACCCTATTTTTATTTCTGGGTTCATGGTTTTGAAGGCAACAAACAATTCTTTAAAATTACATAAGAGCAAACTTTTTGTATGTTAACATTTTTCTTTATGCTTACATAGTCCCTCTTACCAGGCATTATATGGCTATAGTCATCATCATCATAAAAAGGCCAGTTGAACTGTTACATCAGGAGAAGCTTTTCCTATTTTAGGATTAGACATGGCTAAAATACCTTTTTCTAATGCTAGCTTACATGCAGTTCAAGCTACATAGTTTGTTACATGTAACGTTTCAGAAACTTTTTTTATTGACCAGTCAGTTGGAGCAAGCATTGTTGTATTTTTATAATATATTTTAAAGTTGTATTTTTTTATAATATTTTTTATTATATTATTTATATACAATAACTATTTGAATAGAAAAAAAAAGCATAATTTAATAATCGTAAGTACTATTATTTTAATTTTCTAAAAACATTATTTATTTTTATTTATTGGTTTTTATTAGGTATTTCTAAAGGTCAATGAAAAATTGATCAGAGCATATTAAACATTTAATAACTACGAAAATTTAGAATTTTTAAAATACTTGAAATAATTTTTAATAAATATTTACAAATAGGTTAGTATTTGCAACTTAAACTGTTATTTAAAAAACCTTGAATAAAATATATATATATATATATATATATATATATATATACATATATATATATATATATATATATATACATATATTTTTAAATATCACTTTGTTTGGGTTCACCTTGTTTAGTTTTATAGTTTTATAGTTATATATATATATATATATATATATATATATATATATATATATATATATATATATATATATATATATATATATACATATATATATATATATACATATATTTTTAAATATTACTTTGTTATATATATATATATATATATATATATATATATATATATATATATATATATATATATATATATATATATATATATATATATATATATATATATATATATATATATGCATATATATATATATATATATATACATATATATATATATATATTAGGCCAGATCATAACTTAAAAAAATTTGATCAATTCCTTAGAGAATATGCATTTATAAACCATTTTTCTCTACTACTTTGCTATACTTTGCGTTTTTGTCTTTGAAAATTTACTTAAAAATGCCATTTTGTAACATATCATTTATTGAATATTTAGTACATCATTTAATTATTGAACACTTGATACTATTAGAAGAACAAATTATGTTAATAATGCATGAATTTTATATTAGCAATTAAAAATAGTTAAGTCATTTTAGTTAAATCTGTTTGAATTCAGACTTAGTTTCAAAGTGCGGCATTAATTTTTGGCACTTTCAAAAGAAAGCAAATATAGCCATCACAGCTATTATGACCATAAACCTTAGATGCAGATTCAGTGACAATTTTAATTAAACGTTCAACAATTTGATTGTGGCATGGAAATGGTTCTATATCAACAACAATATCTTCATCTGACTGAAGCCAGGCTATATTATATTTGTGCGGTAGAAATGTGTTTTGTCAAAATGGGTTCCAAGCGGGGAATTCAATCAGCTCTTCATAGCTTGTTGCTTAAAGTCTAATTTCAGGGATTTGGAAATTACGATTTGGTATGTCATCTTCCCGTGCATGTAGAATTCTTTTCAGAGCAAGTCTACGAATTACTTGACGCTTATCTTTCAACATAGCAAGAATAATGCTCTCAATATGAGCTGGATAGCTATTGCCCTTCAAAACTTGCTGAACCACAATTCTGTACTGTACAGGAAGAAATCGTGATGTTTGTATCATTTTGTAATAGTAAAACACGATTTGCAAGTGTCTACCACCTTGCATGGTTTAGCTGTCCAGGCAATATGGATTCAAATCACTGTGGTACAATCCCTGTCTTCACTGCATTAAAAATTTTAAAAAAGTACAACTGATCACTGCTTAATAAATCTTTATCAAAATTAATAGGTTCACCAGCAATAACAGCAAAGTTGACTATGGGTGGCTGCAATAGCTTTAAAATAGATTTGCCAATAGGTCCATTAAATGAATGTGGTCCAGTTGTTGCACCATCTAAGGAACTAAATAGATGTTGCAAAGGAAGCTCATTCAGATGTAAGAGATGTTATTATTCAGATGTAAATGCAAAAAACAGACAAAAAATTACACTTAAATATAAAACTACAAGCGATTATGCAGTTTGCATAAACTAATAATCTAAAGTTTAAACACTGAACATTCATAGAAAATAATGTTTAAAATTACTTAAATCTTACTGTCGTGAGCGTTCGTTGTTCACGTGATAGATACGTGATGGTGGCTTGTATGTGTTCTATGGCCTGTATATTTGTACCGTCCTTAGTCACTCCTTCGTTGATCTAATCGCTAATTGGTTGTTTGATTATTCACCTGCGCTTAGCAATGTTGCATCAGCTAGATGGCATGACGATGGAAAATGGTCAGGGCCCAGTGAACATTTAGTATATAGTTTGGATTTAGCACGTATCGTACACTGCGTGTTTGGCTTGCAGACATATCTGCTGTTTGTTAGTTTGCATTTATAGTTTGAGATTGACTTATAATAAAATAATTTCAGTTATTAGATAATTTAAAGGATATAGATTATTACACTTACTATTATTTACAAATCCATA